GAATGAGCAGAATTCACAGTCAGTTAATAAAAGGGGTTTTTGTCGGGACCAGGAGTTTGCTTCATGCTCTTGGGAAGCCTTGGTCAGAACATTAAGGGTGGGGGAAATAAGTCATTCAGAAAGAGAAATAGTGGGCCTGTATCATGCAATTGACGTCCTTGTCCTGGAGCATAAAGAAAGAAAGAGAGAGAGAGAGGGAGGGGGGAGGGAGGGAGGAGAGAGAGAACATGTGAACAGGGAGATGTTTTTACCTTTGGCTGCCTCTATCAGGATTCCCAAGCCGTTATGCTCAACCACAATCATCTTGGCATGGTCATGGGCATGGCCAAAGGGCACCCGGATGTCATCATCAAAGGTCATGATGCGGAGCCCTGAACAGGCCTCCCGGACTACGTCTGCCCGGTCCCCGTGCCGGACTATAGCTTCGGACAGTAGGGCAAGGATGCCCCCTTTCACAAGATCCTGGCGGTTCTGCTCATGTTTCAGGCAAGCATATCGGATGCAACGGACGCCAGCCAAAGTGAGGTCAGCGTCATCTCGGCTCTCCTGCAGGACTCGCAGCAACAGCTCCTGCCCAGGCACATCGAGGAGGTCAGGCTGGCCATCCAGGAGGGCGGAGAGGGCTTGGAGGGCTTTTAAAAGAGAGCAGCGCTCTTCCGATGCCAGCCGACAAGCAGCAAGGACTGCAGGGTAGGCACCTTTCTGGGCAGCCAGGTAACGGACCGACAGCTCCTGCCTGCACTGCCTGGCAAAGTTCACCAAAGATTCATCCACCTTGCTCGAATCCGCATCGATGACGGCTTTCTGGAGACAGTCCAATATCTATAGAAGCACAAAGGGGGGAGGGAGGAGAGAGAGAGTGGAATCTCATCTTATTCTCTGCACTGCATCCTCCTCCTCTTTGATTCTGCAAGTCATTGGGGGGGGGACCCATCTAAAGTCCTTTCCAGAATTAGAGGATGCACAGATGGCTTCAGTCCCTTCTGTTCATTTGCATCTTTTCTCTCCATGTTTTGCATGCTTTCTAACTACCATGCTCCTCTGTTCTTCTTTACACCCTAGGATTTCTAAAGCAGCTTTTAAAATATTCCATTATTTGCCATTTTTAAAAAAAAACCTCTTGGGTATTATTGCTTAAATCTTATGCAAACAACCTTATGAGGTCTCTCTGAAAAAAAGGTACTTGTGAATACTTTTAATAAATATATAAGCAACATTTTTAGTATTTAGTATTTTAGTATTTTATTTGGATTTATAGGCTGCCCTTTTCCCTGAGGGGACTCAGGGCGGCTTACAATCATTAGGGAGGGGTGGTGCAATTCAAAATAAACAATATGTGAGCAAAATAAAATAATAAAAACACAACTTGCATTTGACATTCAACACTCGGGTGTGGCAAATTAGAGGCTTATCCCCAGGCCTGTTGGGATAGCCAGGTCTTGAGGGCTGCGCGGAAG